GAGGAGGAGGAGGAGGAGGAGGAGGAGGAGGAGGAGGAGGAGGAGGAAGAGGAGAAGGAGGAGGACGACGACTATGGGGTGATTGGTACTCTGAGTTTTGTGAGTTTCTTGCAGAGGTAATGTCGTCAGTGCACTGAAGATGTTTCTTAGTTGGGTAATGGAACATCTACAAGAAGACCACCAAATTCAGGCAGGAAGGGTTCTCTAAAACCTCCCAAGGGAGTTTGAATTTCCAATCCTTTGTGAGGGATGAAAAGATCAGAAGCTCACTTACCTTGGTGGCATTTTAGCTAGGCCTGATAACAGAAAAGAAAAGAGCAGGAATCCAGACTCGGGGAAAAGAATTACCTGGGGCCGAGCTCATCCTCGCTACGCCAGACAAAGTCCCCAAATTTCTCATAATGGGAGTTGTAGTGATGCTGGACTCGGGAAAGCATGGAAGCTGAGACTTCCATAAGGGTGTTGTAGGCTGTCTGTTGCTCCTTCCCACTGGTGTAGCCATTGTACAAGTTGTAGATCTTATCTGCTATCTCTGGAAAACAAGCGGAGAGAAAAAAATGCTGGGCAGGAATCATGGAGCAGAACATCACACCCTGATCAAATTTTCTTTCTATGGTTCTCCTGGTCTCCAAAGCACCTGAGAACAGAACGAGAAGCAATGGATGGAAACTAATGAGAATCAGAACAGGCAAAGACTCATTTCTGGCGGAGTTTGGGGGAGAGAAAGAAAGACTTCTGCTGCTTCTGCTGCTTTCCTTGCATGGAGCCAAAAGTCTCTCTCTCTCCCCGTGACAACGAAGCTGGAGATGGTATCCTGCGATCCCGAATAAAGAATGATCGATCGGGAGGAAAATGGGGTGGGGAATTTTCCTGCAGACTTTTTTGGGGATTTTCCCAGGGTCTCTGCTGCTTTCTGCAGAGACCCTGGGAAAACATCAGCAAGCCACTGTCAGTCTTTGCACATATTAGTGGTCCGCAGGATTTAAAATTATGAGTTTAGTGGTCCCTGATATCCAAAAGGTTGGCGACCCCTGCTCTAGACTACGTCCCAGAAATATGTCAGCATGGCGACGTGTTACACTCCAGAAATGAAGGCAAAACGAAGACACAGTTGGGAGCCCTTTCTGAACCTTGTCGTGAGAACAAGCGTTTTACCTTCTGCTTTGGTGTCGTCCACCAGTGGACAAGCCGTTCTCAGCGTGATGGTGCTCAGTTCCGAGTGCCTTCCACGGGTGTCTACAGCATAGAGGGTAAATCTGGAAAAGGAGACACCAACCCGAGTAAAAGAGAGGAATGAAGAGTTCAAGGAACACTCCCCCTACTCAAGGGCTCTTTCGGCAGCACACAAGGAAAGAGGTTTTGTTCAGACAAGATATAAACGTGGGAGGTTATGACCTGAGTTTCACAAGTGCTCCTTTCTTAAAGTCCTTGACCACTGCTCCGAATGGAAAGGGGAAAAAAAAGCAAAAACAAATGTAATGCATAAAAATAGGAGACCAAGCATGCTTAGGAAGAATTTGTGGTGTAAAAATACAAGGTTTCTGGCTGAACTGGAGAGAATCGAGGGCAACAATCAATTCCTAGACTTTTCTTCAACATGATTTCCTGGGGATAATATCTATCTATCCGTCCATCCGTCTGTCCATCCACCAACCCCTTCCCCTTCTTCTTCCATCTAATGTAGAGAAATGGAGAGAAATGTGGGGGGGGGAGGAGATAGATAAGAAGAAGGAGAAGGAAAAAGACAAAAAGAAGGGAGAGAGGGAGGAGGAGGAGAGATACATGAGAAGGAGGAAGAAAAGAGGAGGAAGAGA